AGGTATGTTTACTATCTTATTTCATGAATTTCGAAAATAGTATATGCCTTTTAGGGTTTATCTTTTGATGTTCAGTACTTGTATGTTCAATTAGAGAAAACATATATCCAAAGCAAATTAGGGTTGCATGCACACATAGGATTGTTTGTTATGCTCAAAACCTATCATATATAAACATATTTATACGTATAAGACCGTGTTTATCCATTTAAAAATATATTTATACATAAAAATATATTTTTTTACATTTAAAACACACCCAATATTATACTCCTAAATCTGTATATTTCATTTCAAACAAGATTTAAGCCCTTAATCCTTGGTTACGGCTAACCAAATTGAAAAAAAAGATTTATTCCATATTCATTCTACGATTTTATTGTTGACTTGATCTTTATGTTTTTATGATATTGATTTTCAAATGTTTTATAAATATTCATTTTTTTTACGATGATGTTATCTATTGGTCAAAGATATAGTACAAATTATGATATATTTTTATACGGTAAAAAGATATGTTTTTGTTAAGTTTCTAAAAATTTGTTGTTTACTTAATTTTCATATTTTACACAATATAAAAATAACATTTATTTATATCTGATATAGTTGGTAGACCGATATTAATAGGTTAAAAAAATTAAAAATAGCTAACATGTTGGTTTTTTTTATTTAAATCATGTTTAGACATTACAACATCTTAAAAAATAAAAAAAAATGATATGATTTTTACCATTCGATTAATAAAACTGATATAAATATAAAAAATTGTTCTTAAATAACAAAAATTGTAAATATTTTTTATTCAATTAATACATAATATTAATAATGATATAAATTAGCAGATTAATAATGAGGCGTGTGTCCTTTTTAGCAAAATCGTCAAAGAAATGGAAGTGGACTTCGACATAACTGTTAGACAGAAAACAGTTTTTGAGTGTCTTCGGGCACCTCATGCTCATGATTTTCTGCTAACTATCCTTATTGATGGCCTCGGCCAGCATCTGTCTCCTGTGGAGTACCGAACTAGCCTTCGTTACCGCCTCATTATTCCTTTATTCCCAATTGACGAGATATGCCCCGTTTGCCGCAAGGCATGTTTGGACACTTTTGGGGAACATGCGGTTAATTGTAGAGAGCTCCCTGGTTTCAAAGTACCGACATGATGTGGTTAGGGATGTTCTCATTGATGCTTGTCGGTGTGCTGGTATTTCTATGAAGAAAGAAGCGCCAATGAATTTTTTGACGGACCCGCAGGATGGAAGATCCATACTCATGCCGACTGACATTTTGGTCTTTGGATGGATATGGGGAAATCACGCTTGTGTGGATCTTACTGGCGTCTCTCCTCTCGTCGGTTTGAGGAGCGGTGGTTTCACAGCAGGGCATACTGCTTTGAAAGCCGATGCATGCAAAGTGGCAAAACACGAAAATGCATGTATGAAAATCAACATGTGTTTGTACATTTTGCATTTGATACATTTGGTTTTCTCGCGCTAGAGGCGGTGGAGCTCCTCAACAGAGTCCAACGGGTCATGCATTCTAATGTTATATCTCCTAGATCTACAAATGTTGTTTTCAAAAGAAATAGTTTTGTCATCTAGAAAGGGCTAGCGGCACAACTTGTTATATGTTTGCCTTCCACCGATATGTATTGAACTATATTTGATTTCAATCAAAAAATAAATATTCTAATAAGGAATGAATCTGAAAATATATAACTTATTTAAAGAAATATATAAAAAGATTATTATATTAGAAAAGGGAAATCTGAATATGGATCACTTGACGTGAAAGAATAGAAACATGGTTGTGTGTTTAAGTTTAAGTTTGTATATTTAGAAGGGAAATTTTATATGTACTTCACCAAAATATTTTGACTATCTCTTTGTGGTGGAATAATGTCTATATATCGACAATTTATATGAATGAGCGGTACGTATAGTAACATCTATTTAAAATTACAAATTCTTTTTTTATTATAAAACCATGGTGTCTTGTCATTAGTTAGTACAATTATTAAAATCAACAAACATGCACGATAATGTTTTTTTTTTAACCGGCAAATATAATATATAAACTACTCCTAAACTAACACCTAAATCCACCTACGTCCACAACGGGACTTGAACCCTCGACTTCAAGAATGGAGGATACTACCTGATACCGCTGGGCTAGAAGCCATTTGGTGCACGATATTGTTCGACTATATTAAACCATATTTTTCATAATCATATATTTTGTTGCACTTATGTTCGACATTCACTTGTGTGTTTTTATGTAGCATCAATGCTATTAGACGTTTGGGTGTCAAAATCCTTATTTGGATCGTAAAATCCTTCTTCTATATTGTCATTAATACAATCATTAAATTCAACAACCCACAAGATATTGTTTAATTAGATTGATTCAGTTTTTTTAATGACCACATTGTCTAAATTAATTTAAAATTAATTAAGTAAAAAGAGTTATATATATATATATATATATATATATATATATATATATATATAAAAGGGTGAAGGATAGTTTTTATTAAAAGTCTAACAGGTAGGACAAAGCTCAAAATCATAAGATTAAATTAAAGGAGAAATGAAAAAGGTACTGAAGTTTTCAAGATGTTTAAAAAAAATATTATTTTTGTTTTTTTAATATAAAAATACCATTAAAGTATATTTTTTGTACACATGATACCAACGAAGTACACATGTGTTTAAGTAAAACATTATAGTGATCGGTTATCTCAGGTAAATGAAAAAATGACTTAAAATTGTAACGAAGCTTTCACAATGTTTAAAAAGTACCATTGTCATTTTTTTAGTACAAATATCATTGAAGTATACCATTTATACACAGAATACCAACGAAAGTATATATTTAGTATAAAAAATACCATTGAAGTTTCCAAAATGTTAAAAAAATACCATTATTGTTTTCTCACAACACATTTTGTCAACTTCTTTGTTTATCAAATTATGTAAAACAAAGCCATGGAAATCATGCACCATCATATAAGCTCACAACAGTTGTGCACTCTCTTTCATTTTTTCATTCGGTCGTTCTTGTAGTAACACGAGAAATAAATCGGTAATAATCTCACTTGATGAAACTCACTTTGGTCGTCATGAAATAGCCATAATAGAACAACATGTATGTGTCACTCATGACACACCCTAATACGGGTTTTGGGCACATCCCTGGCTATAAGCCTTCATTTCGTTACAAAAAATTCCTGTCAACAAAAGAAGTTTGTTTTTAATCGAACCCAGTTGTTCCACCAATGTATATATCTCAATCAATCTACACAGAAAGGTTCTTGAAATGTCTCCTGGCCAAATCCATTAAGTTTTTGGTGGTTGTTGGCACTAAAAAGCCCATATTTAATTACGGAGTAAGACTATGAAAATGTATAATTGTTAGTTTGCGTACTTTAGTTTTAAACATACTTATAACTTATTTATTTAAGAGTAAAATCATATGATGTTTGTCTTTCGTTATAATTTGATTTTTATGAGGTTATAAAGTTGGAGAATTCTCACCATCCAATTCATCTTCAACGGTAATAGAACAAAAGATTAAGGGTAAATGGCACAAAAAACACTCTTTTTACATAGAAATTCGATTTTGACACCGTGTTTTTTTTTTGTGTCAATTTTGACACTGTGTTTTCCAATTTGTTACAATTCTAATCACTTGACCGGTTAACCAGGTTACATGCTGACGTGGCATGCTGACATGATATGCTGACGTGTCAAAATTGATTTTTTTTCCACAAAAAACACTAAGTTTTCACTTTTTTTTTGATTTTGACACTAAGTTTAATTTTTTATTTCAATTTTGACACTATGTTTTTTTGTTCCAATCAAACATCATTTATCAAATTTTGTTCAATTTTGTCTATTTTCCATTTGAAACCGTATAAATATATTTTTTTATTACATTTTAAACCGTATAAACATATTGTTTTCGTTTAAAAACCACATTTTAAAGTTGCATATTTAATATAAAATACAATTTTTATATAACTAATACATATTTATACATAAAAATATGGTTTGAGTGTAAAAAAAAATGTATTTATACAAAACTATGGTTTTTAAATGAAAAAAAAACATATTTATACGGTTTAAATGTATTAAAAAAATATTTATACGGTTTCAAATAAAAAATTGTCAACATTGAACAAAATTGGAAAAAAATGATGTTCGATTTGGAACAAAAAAACATAGTGTCAAAGTTGAAAGAAAAAATTAAACTTAGTGTCAAAATCGAAAAAAAAAAAAATGAAAACTTAGTGTTTTTTGTGAGAAAAAAATTCAATGTTGACACGTCAGCATACCATGTCAGCATGCCATGTCATCAAAACTGACACGTCAGCATGCAACTTAATTAACCGGTCAAGTGGTCAGAATTGTAACAAATTGGAAAACACAGTGTCAAAATTGACACAAAAGAAAACACGGTGTCAAAATCAAATTTCTGTGTAAAAAGAGTGTTTTTTGTGCCATTTACCCAAAGATTAACAAAAGAAAAGTTATGGTGGCATTTATTTTCTAGGTAGTTTCACACCAATTTTTTAAATAATATAAGATGTTTAAAAAATCGTGTTTAACAAGAAAAACCAAAAAATTGTTATTACAGTCGAATATTTTTTTAATGTTAAACGACTTTAGTAAAAATTAGAAAGAATGTTAACGTGATAATAACCCCAAACCACAGGGACCACCCGAGTAATTTTCTGTAATGATTTTTTTTTATGAGATAGATTTAATAAAAATAAAATAAGATACACATGAAGCGCAACAATTTATCAAATTCAAAAAGTAAAATCACAAAAAAAAAAAAAAAAAAGTATGTTACACAATATAAAGATAATTTTCACCCAAAATAAAATTTATCCTGACTAACATCCTAAAAAACCAGCATTACTTTGCACTTTACAACACAAAATTTATACATCATTCACCACAACATCAAAATATACAAAAAAAAAAAAAAAAAAGAAAACAACAAAATTCTAAGTTTTGGATCCAACAAATCAAATAACAAATCTAAACCCACATATCCACCGGAAACGACGACGCTTCATTCTTCATTCCAACGTTTCCTCATCACCGGAAACCACCGTCAAAAGAGAAAACTTCACACGCAGCGATATCTTACTCTTTTCAACCACCAGCCGTCCCCCCGACACCACCCAATATCCCGGCATATCCTGCGGCCCTCTCGTCAACTCCGTCGTATCAACAAACTTCAAAAGCTTCTTTCCATGAGCCGACACCGGTGGTCCACCAGGTAACGCCGAGTTCATGTTCACCACTCTCGGATCCGGCGGTGGTCTCTGACCGGTCGAAAACCTACCAGAAATCAACGTCGAAACGATCCCGGATTTCTGAGATAAAACCGGTGACCCGTCCCACTCCGGTTGCCTCACCACCGTCGCCCCCACCACTTTTGCGAACCGGAGGCGTAAGAAGAGAACTCGTTTTAAACCTGAGTCGCTGACTTCGAACTCGGCGCCGGTGACGATGGAGAGTTCATCGTCGGATTCAACCGGAGCACTGTAAATATGTGAGAAGCTTTTCCATTGGACTTTCTCGTAGTACCTTTTGTCTTTAGGGTTTGTGGATGAGTTAGGGTTTGGTTCGGATTTGAGTTTGAAGCTTTTGGGCATGGAGGAAAGATGCTGTAAATGGATCGCTAAGCAGTCGTTTCGTTTTCCTTCTAGGTAAAGACGAAGGCCTGTTACTGGATTATCTCCGACATCCACCTGCGGATTTTATCGCCGGAAAATTTGAATCAGTATACTGTAAGCAGAGTTTCATATGCCTAGACCGGATTGGACCGGTACTAAATCGGAAATTCTTTGGACCGGATTTTTTTCGTAATTTCTGTCAAGGTTGTAAATAGCCTAACCTTTATGCTTTAGGAGCCTTACAATAAAATGATGTTTTTTAGGCATTGTTTATTAGAAGGAGACAACTTTGTATGTAATCAATTATTAATTAATTATTATATACAGATATATATGGTTTCCAGTGTTATACAATTTTTTATATAACTTATTAATTTATAAGAATTATTTATTAAAATGATCATATTTGAAAGTTTGTATATCAAGATAATTGTTTGTAACAAAATGACCACAAACTTCATGAAAAAAATATCGACAATTCGCGACATTACTTTTTAAATATTCCGTCAAAAAAATCGTGAATTTTAGCCGCAAAACTACTTAAGATCGGAATTTTTTGATTATATTCATGAGTTCAAATGTATTTTTGATTATATTCGTGAGTTCAAATGTATTTTTCAAAAGTCTTGAAATCTACTAAGAAATGTTTTTCCTAAAAATCTAAATAAAATAAGATGTAACAAAAATGGTTTAAGTGTATAGTTGGAGGGATAGGTCTTGGATTCAAATCCCAAAGACTTTTTTACATATTGAAGTTGAAGTGTATATAAAGAATTGGTGAATTTTGGCCAAAGTTTCACGAGGTTTTATGTCGGAAAAAGTAATCTTGTAAATTCGTGGACACGTTTTCAAAGGGTTAGGTGTTTTTGATAGAGGCTAAAAATATGATTATCTTGATATACTAAGTTTTAAAATATGGTTATTTTATTGAATAACTCAACTTATAATTATAAAAGTACATATATGTACTGAGGCCACTTTTTTAAGACGTGGCGACGCGTCTTGCAGATATGATGTATTTTATTTTTCTATCCTCATTGTTATTTTTATAGATGTAATTTTGTTTAATTCTTATCGTCTTTTTTGTATCTTTTCATCGTTCATAGTAATTTTGTTTAATTTTTATGGATATTCAAGTAATTTTTTGTAAGATTTTAGTAATTAATAAAAACATGCCTGATTCGTGTTAACATAGAGCTTCGGACCCAAAAATCTGAACTGCAAAGCTGCGTTGTGCTGTTTACCCTCGGGACCCACTGCAAGCTCACCAAACTCTGGTGCCCATCTTGTCGGAAGTTGAAACTCTAAAAACTGCTGAAGCTCTTCAATTGGTGGCTTATCTGCATAACACATGTAGCCATAACACATGTAGCCATTAGAAGATAGAAGCACTAAACTAAACATATGCCTTTGTACTGTGTTTGGTATGCATTGTCCTGTTGTCACACGACCGATGTCACTAAAACAAAAAATTTTAATTTTTTATCCTACCCGAAACGGTTTAGAAAGGAGGACATGACTCACTCTTGGTCTCTCGTCTGCTCAAAAGACTAAAATGCCCTTTCGCATCATGTCCCTAGCATAAAGGGTATTTTAGGCATTTGACTTTGTGTTTGTCAAGCGTTTATACATCAATTGATCGGATCAAATAAATGGAAAGATATGGATGTTTTTGCTTACAACGTATATAAAGATTGATGGCGTGAGTTAAAAATCCGTTTCCATCTATTCCACTTAATAATGATGTGATTGGAATAAACGACATTGAGATGACTTCAGGTTCGAGTTGAACCGTTTGACACCATGTGCGATGGTCGAGGTTTTTTCCATAGCTTCCCCCTTTTCTCCTCCAAAAAAGAGTTATATCCTGCAAAATCACAACCAAAAGCGACGCAGTGTAGAATCTCAGTATAATCACTATTTATTTACCAAGGTTGTGCGAGACTGGCAGTCCACGCTAATTTTTGTCTCATTAACATCGGTCCAAGTCCAATACACGTCAATACACGTCATGACAACTGTCTGGTGTAACAAACGGAGTCCAAAGGCAAATAGCGGATATTTGTTTATAGAATATGACTATTGCAAAATTTAATGAGACAATACCGAATTCTAACCTCAATTGGTGGATTCAAGTTTATCAAGCCGTAGTCGTTTCTTTCAAGCTGAAACATAAAAGAGTATTACATAAGAATATGAGATTAGAGATTTCACAAACTTTTATAATATATCTTGTTCTTTTACCATAGTGAATGTTATTAGTAGACAACTTGGATCAAACTTTGATTCTTTATCTTTCCCACTTATTTTTTTTACTCTTTTATCAATGTAGTTAAGGGTTATTCAATGTAAGTTGTCAAATGAGATAAATTTTAGAAACGGATAGTTTTGCTATAAACGGGAAGAAAGTGAAATGTATTGTGTTAATAAAAGTATAGAAAAGATGTTACAACCAGCTCCGAATCATGCGTCTCTCTAGGGTTATCATTATGTTGTCCACTAAATCTCTTTTCCGCTACACCTTTTAGCTTATTTCGCACCTCATCCAACGAGAGAGTTGATGAATGTTGTTGTTTCATATACACAACGTCTTTTCCTCCCATTTTTACACCCGAAATTACATGGGTGCCAAACCTTTCGATAAACCTACAAACATCATACAAAATTCAAACTAAAAATCAAGTTTGTGATGTTTAAAATAGATAACAAAAAATATAGTACATAACATGAAAAGACATGACATGACATAACATAACATAACATAATACTTTTTTGACATGGACAGAGATTGATGTCAACTAGACAAAAACCGGATTGTTTTGTCCTAAAAGGTGGGACTATGAATCAGTGTCTAATTGTTCTCTGTACAAAAAGACGTAAATGCCCTTGTCATGATACCAATGAAAATATCCCAAAATTTGTCATAAGAGTCATAATTTTTTGTCATAAGAGTCACAATTTTTTGCTTACTTGGCCAATGCTGCAGGTTCCCATGAGGAAGGAACTGCGTTTTTGACATGATCACGTAAAGCAATTTGGGATTTTTCAAGCTTGATATTGTAAAGTGTGATGAAGACGCCATCTAAAGCGAGAGATTTTGTATTTGCAGCATCTTTCTGCCATGATCCCGTGAATTCAAATGCAGCGTTCAGTTGGCCGGTCGGAATTCTGCCGGAAAGTGATACATCCTGGTTAAATTGCTCCGACATCTACAAGAACAAGAAAAACGATACCTTTGATATATCAAAGATTCGAACCCATAACATAAAATCATTATAAGAAGGAAAGTTTAACTATCATCGAACAAATCAGTGAATCAAGACGAAATTTTGTGGATATACCTTCTGAAAAGAGAGGGTATCTGAGCTGAATCGCATCCTTTCACCTTTATCACAATTAATCGATTTTGATACATTTTGAATCAAAATCCCACCTGGAATCAGTATATCCCTCACCTGTTCATCATCTATACCGATTAATCTCGATTCCGGCGACTTCCCTTTACAGTATTTCAACCTCAAATCCTCAGTCAGGTCATACCCTAACCCAATTGATCCGATCGCCGTCTCCGCCGCTGTCTTCAGCCGTAACGCCACCTCCTTACTACTACTACCCATCAAATTAGTTGTGTAAACCACAAATAAACCGCAAAATTAGGTGAATCCGTGGAATTTTTCCTTCGATTATGGTTTTCTTTCACCTGCTACGGTTTGAATCGGAAGTAGTCAACTCGATTTCTTGGTGTTTTGTTGACTGCGAATTTAAATAATGTTCAGGTGGAAGATGATGAAATGGGTCGTCAGATTTTACATCGTGGATGTATTTTATATGATTAATTGTCGCGTATATTGTTGGTACAAAGCGCGGAATCATTTGGGGTTTGGAGATAAAGTCAAAATAGAAATGCTGTAATTGGTTTTCAAGAGAAGTGCAAAAGGTCAAAGAAAGTTGGTTGTTTTTGATGCCGCCCGTCACCGGCGTAAAGACACTTTTTATTGGTGGTCGGAGATTCAATGTTATTCTTTTACTTTCCATTTTCCATAAAAAAGGTTAATTCTTGGTTTCTATATTCATTTTGGTTCTTATATTTTAAACAAAATATTCACCAATTATAGACTTTGAAAACACAACACAATGATAAATATGCAAATGAGAATAAAGAATACAAAGGTTAGATTTTGATTATACTAATCAAACTACATCTCCCAAACAAACTATAGAGATATTTTGATTATACTGATACTTTTGAATGCATACTTTTTGTATTAGGGCTACAAATTAATGTCTTAAGTCACAACTTACAAACGATGTGGCTCGCCACGATTCGTAAAAGCTTGAAGTGTCTCGCCACGATTCGTAAAAGCTTGAAGTGGCTCGCCACGGCTCGTAAAAGCTTGATGCTTGACATTGTCGCCAAGTCACGTCTAACGTTATTTAGAACATTGGTTACAATTACAGTGAGAGATCAATTGATAATAAACTTTGGACCTAATTTCTTCTGGACTAGGCTCATGATATAACAGAAATAAGTTGACCCATGATGACAGACGTGGTCCCAAAGTTACTAGGTCAGCATCGAAGTTTAAAGTCTAGGACTACTTCCGAAGGCTAAGCGTGATGTACACCAAAGGCGAAGCTTGGATGTACAACAAAGGAGAAGATGATGAGCTCGTTCTTCACAACTGCGCTTTAGAGTTTAACTTTGCTGCCAAGTCTTTAGACTTTGCTTTTTAACTTAATTTGAAGCTCTACTTCCTGGATCTGAATTCGTCCATGGTTTGCAGCTTCGCTCATAAACAATATTCAACAACTTTGCCAAGTGGCTTCGCCCCAAGGCTTCCATGTGTGGTCAAAACCTTGCACCATCAACTTTGCTAAGCCTTTGATTTTGAAATACAATTTCTCCAATAAATTTCTTCATGGGGATTGACCCCTGCAAATAATAGAACCCCATGCTTGGTCTCCATATTGACAATGAAGTCAAAAGAAGAATTAAATTCCAACTTAACAATAACAATCTCATAATTAAAAATGAAAAGACTACACTCACATTTTTGGAAATTTTTTCAAATAATTATTATTTTCGGAAATACTAAATTTTCAAACGTAGTAATTAGTTTTTTTCTAAAAAAAACGATTCAAGAATTTTGAGGTTTCAAAAAGCCATTATTTTCGAAGTAAGGTTATTTTTGTTTTTAAGATAACACCATATTTACAAATTAGTTCATAAAAGTTACTTGTTTTCGAAAAAGTAGATTTATCTTCGAAGTAGTGATATTTTGTGATTTTATAGTTAAATTAAGATGAAAATTAGTTTCATTGGAATGTAACAATGTGCAATTTGTACATAGCACAAATACATAAAGACACTGACTGACATTTTTTTTTATCCAAAATGGTGTGTATTTGTACGAAAAATTTGTTTTTTTTTTCGGTCGACCCAAGCTTGTTTCTTTAGAATATATTTTTGAATACCAAGGATAATAGACGTTTAAAGATTAGCTTTCCAGGTGAATTTGGTTATCATTTTTTTTCTTGATCAATTAATTAAAGTCTTTAACTTCTTGAAGAAGATCGTCTCTTTCTTTGATTGCATTGTAGACATCCTCACAAAGCATTTCGACATCTGTCTCTCGAGAATGCACAACAATCTTCATCTCTTCAGACATCATCTAGTACATTTGGGATAGATTGGGGAATGAGCTTGAACCTCACCTCCTATATTTATGTAGGATTTTTTTAGTAGACATTTTTGAGTAAGTTAAGATTTGGTGTTGGAAATGTAATCTTTAACAAATTTATAGAACTGTGGGAAATAGTGATAGGTCTAAGTTATATGGAGAGTTAGGTTGGATATATAAACTTAGTTAAAGTTATTTTGTCTTAAGTTTGACCATTTAACTCCTCCTAACTATTGTATTTTACTTATTGATTATGTAATGTTTACCTTTTTATATCTAAGTACCTTCATACATCAACAAACATACAACACATCATACCATAAGTTAAATATTGCAAATGGGGAAGTCCATTCAAGTCAAAGATTTTAACTATAAAGCATAAAACCACACTAAATTGAACAAAGACCTAGTTTTCAAAGAATTGTATAATGTACTTCATAATTCCATGAAATTAATACAATGGAGTAAAAAGTAGTGGAGGAATCATAACTAAAGTGCAGATTAAATAAGAAAAACAAAGATATTCGAAGTTGGGATGATGAACTATTAATGACGTAGATGTGATGTGAGAAGTTGTAAAAAGTGAAAAAAGGGTTAAAGAAGATAAAACCTGTTAAGCTCAAATACACGTTGTGCATAGTCATCAGGCTCGTCGTGTTTGTGACAAAGGGTCCTTCAGCTCGAGATCTATCGTTGTATGTATCACATTTTTCTTCAAGGCGCGTCGCGTAATGTCTACAATTCTTCAAACTCAAAAAACTTCACCAATTTTCATAACAAGAAATCTCACATCAATGAAAACCCAAGTACATCATATAATCTTGACCATCTTTTGTAGGGTGAAATGCAATCAAAATAACTCAAAAACCCATAAAATAAGAAGTACAGAGGAATCATACATGGAGTGCAAATTAAACAACAAAAAATGAAGAAATTCGAAGTTGGGATGATGAGCTCTTGATGACATAGATGTGATGTGAGAAGTGGTAAAAAGTTTTAAAAAAAGGATTAAAGAAGATAAAACCTGTTAAACTCAAGTACACATCGTGCATACCATCAGACGCATCGCATTTTACGACAAAAGGCTCTCCGGATCGAAATCGATCATTTTACACATTACGTTTTTCTTCAAGACGCGTCACATGATTCCTATTATTTTCAAACTCAATGTAACATCCGGAATTCCAGGTATTATATTTTATCATCTATTTTTGAGAAAAGAGAGGTACTCGACGAGTTGAGTCGTAGACTCGTCGAGTAGGACCGCGACTGCTGACTGGATTAATGAACGGACTCGACGAGTCGGAAAGGATGGACTCGACGAGTCCGCGCTGTGGATTGAAACCCTAATTCTCGGGGTCTGTGCCCTATTTAAAGGCCTTTATGGCCTCCATTTGCGGCTACCAGTCCAGAGAGAGATACCCTAGCGATTGTGAGCGAGTTGTGAGAGAGTTTGAGCCTTTTTGATCATTTTTGGTGTGATTTTGCAAAGGAGAAAGTGTTTCCAGCAAGGGGAGGTCAAGAGGATTGCATTTCAGTGGGTTTTCGGCTTGGATCTTCAAGTTTGAGGTAGCTATTTGATCCTATCCTTCTGTTTTGCTTAAGGGCATTGAATTTAGGGTTTTCTATACCCTTTTATGGCTTGTTTAGTTGTGTATAGTGTCCCATTGAGTGCTAAACTCTAGATCTGGACCTTTTGAGGTCCAGAGAGCCTGAACCATGCTGCTTTTTGTGGTTCTATGGAGGAAATGGACATAGGTTGCCATGTTAGAAGGGATTTCACCAAAATAAGCCTTGGGAGCATTGCATGTGTAGCAAGATTCGACCTTTACGTGTTTATTGGTCATGGGGAAGTCAGATCTATAGATTAGAGAAGCAGATCTGACCTCAAGAGGTCAGATGAGTGCTTTCATGGGAGGAACTCGCCGAGCCCATAAGGGACTCGGCGAGTCGAGTCGGGTTGCCCCGCGATTCGCGACCTGTGATAACCCGTTGAGTGTGGGGTTGACTCAGCGAGTCGAATAAGGACCAGGGGCGAAGAGGACACGCATGTACTCGTCGAGTCACACGAGTGCACTCGACGAGTCGGGTCAAAGTTTGACCGTTGACTTTTGTTGACTTTTAGCGTTTAGTCAGTGTTTGGACTTATGAGCCATTAGAGGGGTAGAATGGTCTTTTACCCTTCTTAGAGAACTTATAGAGAGGGGTTAGCTTAGCCTTTAGAAGTTGTATTAATTAGAGTAATTATTTATGTGATTAGGCGGAGGCTAGTGCAGTATTTCAGAGTTCGAGGTTTACCGAGTTACCCGAGGTGAGTCTTCTCACTATACCTTACCTAGAGTGGTAATTAGAGTTATGTGACAGAGTATATTGTATGCTATGTGTTATCTATGTGATTCTGTGCTATATGTGATTCAGAGTTTATAGAGTTAGGACCGAATGGTCCACAGAGTTAGGACCAGAGGGTCCACAGAGTTATGGGATTGGAGGGTCCCACTGAGACACTTTGACCAGAGGGTCATACAGAGTTATAGCCTCGAGTGGCTAATATGTGTTGCATGTGGTATTTTGGGGAACTCACTAAGCATTTATGGTTACAGTGTTTGGTGTTATGTGTTTCAGGTACCAGTGAGGATCGCGGGAAGGCGCCGGCATGATCAGTACACACATGAGGAGTTTTTATACATTATGATCTTGGGTTGTGTTATATGGATTGATATGTGAAACGATGAGATTTTACAATGTTTATGAATGAAAATATGTTTTTAAAATGTGAAAAATTGTTTGGAAAATTACGGTGTTACAAGTTGGTATCAGAGCCTTGGTTTGAGGGATTCGGATGCACCTTCGAGCGCATTTGAACTCAAACTGAGGATTTGAGGAATTTTTTGACATAAAACAAAATTTTTCTAAAAGAGTAAAAAGGTTTTGAAAAGAACAGAGCAGAGCAGTGTGTACGATCAGCCAGCGCCCGAACGGTGATTTCCCAAAATACCCTTATATTATGTGTTATGAGATATGAGATAATATATTATGCATGTTAGAGTAGGCTAGGTATTCTTATTAGGACTAGAGTGGCCTGATATTTGATGCCTTAGCCTAGGGGTTTTGCTGCTAGGAGATGCTTGAGAGTGAGTAGATAG